ACACACACACACACACACACACACACACACACACACACACACACACACACTGTTTTGCTATCTTTACGGGGACTTTGCATCGACTTCCATTCATTTCTATAGCTTATCCCCGACGCTTCACCACACAAACCGTCATCTAACCTGGGCTTTGGTCCCCACAAGGTAATATATTTTGAAACAATTGGCTATGCAAGTATAACACACACAATAAAGACAATAGTAAAAAAAAAATCCTGAACTAATGAATGTTTGAATCGACCCATGAAAACTAAATAAAATATCTCTGACTTAGCTAATTTTGCAAATGTGTTAAGCTAAAATTTGGGGTGGTAGTAGCTGAGTATAGTTCCTAACGCAGACTTCGAACGCATCAATTTGAATCATGACATCTCTGACTCAGATTTAAGGCCAGCTAAAAAAAAATCACTAACATTTTATTATTTAGCTCACGTTTCTTACATTTAGCTAAATTTTACTAAAGTTAAAATGTTAAATTATGAATTTAAATGTAAAAGCTAATGTAAATGTTGCGAATAAATGTTAAAACTTTACATTTAAATATTTCAGAATGGAATGCAGCCTTTGCTGTTTGTGCACTGTGTTTGGTGTGATGTCATCATACTGCAACAAAAACAAACACTAACGCTGCTAATGCTACTAACAATGCTAACACTGCTAATGCTACTAACACTGCTAATGAAACTAAAACTAGTAACCCTGGTATTGTCACTATCTCAGCTAATGCTGCTAACACTGCTAATGCTGCTAATGTCACTATCACAGCAAATGCTGCTTATACTGCTAATGCTACTAACACTGCTAATGCTACTAACACTGCTAACGACAATAACACTGCTAATGTTGCTAACTTCATTATCCCAGCAAATGCTGTTAACGTTGCTAACACTACAGACACTGTTAATGCTGCTAGTTTTGCTAACACTGCTAATGCTGCTCTCAATTCAATTCGATTCAAAAATCCTTTTTTGATCCCAGGGAGAAATTAGTTGTTATAACTCATTTAACTAAAAGGTTATTGTAGATAGTGATGGCTGTGGGCAGGAAAGATCTTCTGTAGCGGTCTGCATTACAACAAAACTGAAAAAGCCTCCTAATGTTACTAACRCTGCTAATGATGCTAATGCTACTAACAMTGCTAATGAYGCTAATGCTACTAACACTGCTAACGTCAATATCACAGCAAGTGCTGCTAACACCACTAACGCTACTAACACTGCTAATGCTGCTAACGATACTGCTAAGGTCCCTATCACAGCAAATGCCGCTAATATTGCTAACACAGCTAACAACGCTAATATAGCAATGTTGCGAACACTGCTAACTCTCAACAAGACATCGAACTCGCAATTGTGTCCGGTGTCCGAGACGCACTTCAAATTGCCGGACCACAGGTACCACCCATATTGTTTTCAATGAACATTTTGAATTTTAAATACTATTTTCAGCAGCGTTAGCAGCATTATCAAAGTTAGCMGCGTTAGCATGTGYTTAMTTTTGTTGCAGGATGATGACATTACAACAAAAACTGCGCACCAACAGCAAAGACTGCATTCCATTTCAAAATACTAAATATAAACTTTAATATTTAGCAACAATATTTAAGACCCATTTTGTTTTACATTTAGATTCAGGATTTAATATTYACACAAAACATTGAAATTTATCATTTAGTAACAATTTGCAAACTTTAAAGACAGTGAGATAATAATATTTACTATGATTTTACACTCAGAAAGAGAGCCAAACAATGAAAATGTGTTAGTGGTGGCCTCCGTCCTCTCTGTCTCTGTGCTGCTGGAACAAAGACGTCGCTCAGTCAGACACGTTTTCATATTTCAGAGCCGTTCTGGATCTCGGTGTCATAAATCACAGCGTGCAGTAAAATATAATTAAAACCATGAGGTGAGCGAGCCGCAGTTTAATTATTATCTGATGCAAAAAAAAAAAGGAGTAGAGGGCGAAATGTTAACATGGGTTTCAACTGGAAAAAGACATAAAGTTACTGAATGTGTATCAAACACACAAAAACTAATAACGCTTYAAATACAGCGGCTGATTTTTAACACCAGCACACAAAGATTAGAGGATTAGGGTTTTTGCCCGTGTCAGCTCCGTTAGCAAAATATCTCACAAACCACTGAATGGAGTTTATTGAAACTCCCAGAAAGYAATCATTGTATAATCATCTACAACTGACAGACTTTTGGAGACCTTTTTTCAAGATGGCCGTCACAGCTTAAGAGCTTTAGCAAACACRAAAATAGCTCAAACTCAGTCGGCTAAACAGACACTGAACTAAAGTTTGGGGTGGKTTTAGCTGAGAGTCATTAACTACAGGTTCTCTGAGCTCTAAATGACGGTGCAGAATCTGGTTTTACCTTTGAATCARCTCTGTCTGTTAGCAAAATATCTCACAATAAAGAGACGCCTGAGCCTCCCTGATCAAACGGCTGCCCCCAAGACCTAACTCTGGGATGAGAGGAAAATGATGGATGGATGGATGGATGGATGGTTGGTTGGTTGGTTGGTTGGATGGATGATGGATGCTTGGTTGGATGGATGATGGATGGATGGTTGAATGGATGATGGATGGATGGATGGTTGGATGATGGATGGATGGATGGATGGATGATGGATGGATGGTTGGATGATGGATGGATGGATGGATGGATGGTTGGATGATGGATGGATGGATGGATGGATGGATGGTTGGTTCGTTGGTTGGTTGGTTGATTGGTTGGATGGATGTTGGATGGATGGATGGTTGGTTGGATGGATGGATGGATGGATGGTTGGATGATGGATGGATGGATGGATGGATGGATGGATGATGGATGGATGGATGGATGGATGGATGGTTGGATGGGTGGACAGATGGATGGATGGTT